AACCCCCAGGGTTTGGGAAGCCTCTGTGCTCCCTTCTGGTGGATGCTGGTCCCTCCCCTCATCTCCTGGCTTTGAAATGTGCTGGGAATGTTGACGGGGGTCGCAATCAGGATGAGAAAAACTTATCTACGCGGTTGCAGATAAGCAACTAATTGCACCCCCCTTCCTCTGGGAAAAGTTCAGCACCTTTTCCTGTGAGTGAGGAGGCCGAGGGGGAGCAGCCCCTGGCTCAGTGGAGTCCTTGTGTGCCCCTTGCAGAGAACATCCCCGAGAAGTGGACGCCAGAGGTGAAGCATTTCTGCCCCAACGTGCCCATCATCCTGGTGGGGAACAAGAAGGACCTGCGCAATGACGAGCACACGCGGCGGGAGCTGGCCAAGATGAAGCAGGTGGGGATGGGTCCCGCTGTCTCCCCTGACCCCCCTCTCCCTGTGCCACCTCGCAGGGGCTCCCCAGAAGCTTTTGCTGCTGTTTTTTGGTGATATTTCCAAACTCTTTTTTTTGTGCTTTCTAGGAGCCGGCAAAGCCAGAGGAGGGGAGGGACATGGCCAACAGGATCAACGCCTTCGGCTACCTCGAGTGCTCGGCCAAGACGAAGGAGGGCGTGCGGGAGGTCTTTGAGATGGCCACGCGCGCTGGCCTGCAGGTCCGGAAGAACAAGAGGCGCCGGGGCTGCCCGCTGCTGTGAGCGGGAGAAAGCTCCCCGCACCGGCACCGCCTGCCCGCACCATGCAGGGAGGGAACGCTGGCAGGCGCCCGGAGCGGGACCTCACGGTGCCAGGACCTGCCCCAAACCCTCTGCGCCAGAGCTGCCACCCACGCCCATGGGGTGTCCCTGCGTGTCCCCAGGGCCGTGAGGGGCCAGTGCCTTCAGTCCTTGCTGCTCTCCATGGCCGGGCATTGCACAGCTCCCCACATTGTCCCGTTTTGTACTGATCTCCCTGGATTTGCTGCCACAGGAGCGGGAGGTGCTGCTGCCCTTGTGTGGGGTCTGTTGGGCCATGGGGGCTCTGCTGCTCCCCTCAGCCGTGCGGGCAGCACCAGGGTTTTACACAGACTTGCCCAGGGCAGCTTCTGGCCCCGTCTGCGTGGGGAGCGGGGCTCAGCTGCAGGCAGGGGTGCTCTGCTCCCAGCACCTCTGCCCAGCTCTGCCAGTAACGCCGCCTTCCAGTCTGCACTGGTCATGGACTTAGCACCAGTAACCTGAACTGGGAGAATAAATGCAAACTGGTATTTCAGTAACTGTGCCTCTGCTTGTGTGGCATCCTTTGGGCTGTCCCTCATGCTCCTGCACTGGCTGGGGCTGATCCATGTGCTGTGGGGTGGGGGTCTTGCTCAGCTCCCAGTGGTGCGGGATTGGGGCTCGTCACCGCATGCGTGCGCAAAACCCCAGGACATCATACGTGGAGGGGCTGGGCAGGAGCTCCCCAGCTGTGCTCCATCCCTGATGCGATGGGTGCTGTGGTCACCACTGGAGCCATCCTTGCTCTGTCACTGTTCTACATCGGGGCAGGGCTGCAGCACACCCATCCCTGCTCCAGCAGCCCCGGGACTGAACAGCGATACGTTTTTCTCTAAACATTTATTCCAGGGAAACAAAGTGAGGTTTGCCTGCACAGCCATGCCAGCTCTGAGGCCAGGCAGGGGACACCAGACCCCCTGCACCTGGTGAGGTCCCCACCTGCACCCATCACCCGTCACGGCAGCACTGAGCCCCCTGCACACCCAGTGATATGCTCTTTGGAGTCCGGACTCTTGTTTAAGCCACTGAATGGTGAGACCAGTCACAGGGAATTGGCTTTCAAAAACTGCTCAAAATGGAGTGGTCCCAGTCCAGCACTGGTGTGGTCTCACTCTGTGAGGGAAGGGGGCTGCCCCGCAGTCTGTACTGGGGCTCTCGGTTGTCGGGACCCCCGTACACTGTGGGCTCAGCCCCGGCTCCACAGAACGGTCTGAGCACCCTGGGGCGTAGGCAGGGGAGCACAGGCAGCTGCCGCGGGCTGGGGCGGGCTGGGGGTGCAGGAGCTCTGTGGGGCTTCTCCTTTCCCAGGCGCGTTTCCTGCAGAGAAACCCACGGCAGAGTCAGCCCTGATTCAGGAGGGGACAGGCAGCCCCGAGGTGAGGTGTGCTGAGCCCTGCCGCACTCGATGCGTGGGGAAATGGCCACTGGGCTCCCATGAGGGACCTCCTGGTGTCCCTTGCACCCACGACCCCCAGGAGGGACCTCCTGGTGTCCCTTGCACCCACGACCTGGTATGGCATGGGTGGCTGTGCTGCTGCTCGCCCCATGCCCACTGGGGCTCCCTGCCCCGCTCACCTGGCCCCTAATTGCCCAGGCGCAGCGCCTGGAGGTCGTTGGCCAGGCCGTCCTCTGCCGGGCTCTCCTCCTCATAGGGGTACCCCATGTATCCGCCCTGTTCCTGGCAGTACCTGAGGAACCTGCGGGCACAAGGAAGGGGACGTGAGCAGGAGGTGACCCCGGCCTTGCTACCTGTGCTGGGAATGGGCAGACGGGCACTGCCAGCACCAGCTGTGGTGGGGCTGGGCTCACCTCTGCCAGTGGTGGTCCATGCTGAGCACGGCCGGGTTGCCCACCACGATCAGCAGAGCCTTGGCCCTGGTGATAGCCACGTTGAACCTCTGAGGAGAGAACAAGGGGCTTTACCCCACAGCCCCCGGGCTGCTTCCCCAGCCCCACCTTGGTGCAGGCAGCTCCCACATGGAGCCAAGCACCCACTGGGCACCACAGGGCATCAGAGGGGAGTGGGGGGTGCAAAGCGACAGGGTGGCTGCTGGGGACCTTGGGGTTCTTGAGGAAGCCCAGGTTGAAGGTCTGGTCGAGCTGGAGGTAGTCGCTGCAGCTGCGCACCGTGGAGATGAGGATAACGCGGCGCTCCTGGCCCTGGAACTCCTCCACAGAGCCCACCTGAAGCAGGGGCAGCAGGTGAGGGGCTGGGGAGCACCCCAAGACTGGGGCTGGTGGGGTCCACTCTGCTCCCCGCCCTTGCACCCAGGTCCCTACCTTCAGCAGCCCAATGTCCGGCAGCGCCCGCAGGACGGGGTCCAGCGAGGTGATGGCTTTCCGGATCTTCTCCACCTGGGGGGACCACGCAGGGGGTCCAGCCACTGCGGGGGTGTCCTTGTGTGCCGCCCAGGGGCTGCCCACGTGTCCCAGTGCCCCCAGTCCCTGGGGATATCTTGGCCATCCCCTGCCTGTGGAGCTATGCCCCTCACCTGCTTCCTGTAGGGAGAGATGATGCCGACCTCCTTGGGCGAGACGCTGGGGCAGCCCCCCTTGCCTCCCCGGCTCTTCAGCCGCTTCTTCCAGGACTGCA